GCAGATGTCTCCTTTTAACGACGCTTTTAGGGTCGAGAAAGCAAAATTGGCGATGTACTTACTTTTTTTTCCGTGACGCGTGATTGGTGAAAAAAATTATCCGTGATGCGTGATTTAATAGGAAAAATTCATCGTGATGCGTGATTGGTACCCTCCCCACCCCCCGCTCTTTGCTACCCTCAATTCAGAATGAGTAAATCGATCGGCACTTCATGTACTGCCGACAAAGAGACTTCCTTGTTTTTGTAACCCATGTAATGCGAAAAGTCATTCGAAAATGAGATACAAAAGAAGTGAAAATAAGGAACTATCTTACCAGTCTACTCTGGTCGTACGCATCCAGAGGACTGACTAAGTGAACGAATGTACGAACACAGGAACGTATGAACGAACGAACGAAAGAACGGGCGTGCGAACCAACGAACCAACGAACGGAAAGACGGATGAACGAACGGACGAATGGACGAAGGCACAAAGGGACGAACGGGCGAACGGACGTACAGACGTACGGACGTACGAACGTACGCACGAAATAAACGAATGAGCAAAAGAATGTGTAAGTAATGTATGTATGTATCTACTAACAAGGGAAACCTAATTTATTTGGACTTACGTTATGGAAGTGCTGACGACTTATATTACCATTGTATATCTATTCTGGTTTGGCAACCACAACAATACGGCCTCGAACGTCGATTGAAACATGAATTTTCTGGTTAATTCAGTTTCATGTATGTTTGTCTCGCACTGTCAGAACTATCTCAAAACTGAATGATTACGCTAGACGGCGTTAAGTTCGAAAATCATGTGGCTGTGCGGTTCGTTTTCCAGACTAGGTTGAATTTGGTCATTAAATATTTAATGACTGGCCCCGCGGGAAACAGTGAGTTTTGTATCCCCAAGACCCTCTGTGTTCCCTGACGCGAAGCCGAGGAGAACATTGAGGTCGAGGGGAAACAGAACTCACTGTTTCCTGCGGGGCCAGTCATAAAGTATTTTGTTATTCCTCCCAACTCAAAAAAAGAAAAAAACAAACAAACGAACGAACAAAAACAAAAAAAACAGCGAAAAAGATCGTTTGCTTGACGCCGGCTGGCAGATAAATTTGCCGGGGTTACATGTGTGAAGTTCAAGTTGTTGTTTCCTAGTTTTGTTCGCCCTTCGGAGTTAGTGAGTTTTGTTCTCCTCAGGAGAGTTAGTGAGTTTTGCCTCACCGCACGTGACACATTTTCCTTTAATCGGAAAACGTATTTGGGTTGGGAGGTATAGCAATTCACGTAGTTGTTTTGCAAAGGACGGCAAAGAAATGTACCAAGATTTATAACGCACGCGCACAGCCGTCGCGCTGATCAACTTACACGCACTTTTTTTTGGTTTGTTTGTCTTTTTCAATCTTCCAGTAAGATGTTTATCAATGACGCTGACAGAACAAAACTTAGTTGCATCATATTGCCGGTTTTCACATGACGTCACTAAAATTCAAACTACAAAACTATTGATCCTCCTGACATTTTAC